GACACCCCATTAACTACCCTGGCTCAATGCTAGGGAATTCTAGGAATTGTAGTTTTGCAAGACATTTAGACTTCTCTGTCAGAGCGCTCTGTGGCCACAATAAACTACAATTCCCAGGATTCCCTAGCACTGAGACAGGGCAGTTAAAGAGGTCTCAAACTGGATTATTTCTGCAGTCTCTTTTGGACCATATAGGAGTTTCACTTGCAAGCATGGATTATGCAAACCTTTGAGTTAGCGCAATTAAACAACCCCATACAGGTAGAACAAACATACAGAAAGAACATGACATACCTTTATCAGGTACTTTTTTTCAGGCAGCAAACTATGAAAACAAGAAATTAGAAAAGGAAATTGTTTCCTATTTGTATAAAGAATCGTATCCAACTCAATCTTAGAGACCTTCCCTTTCCCAAAGATAGCTAGTCCACATTCATTACTGACATCCAAGCTCTAAGTATTGCTTTTTGTTCCCCATTTTCTTAGCTTTCTTTAGGCAAAGTAGAAGGAAGAACAGGCAATACAGTCATACTGTTCTCCACTCTATCAATTCCTAATCACAACAGGAATTTTGGGAGAGTGCCATTATACTTACTCCTCAACACTTCTGTCATACACAGTCTTAATTCTTAGTTGTTCATCAACATTTCTCTTCTTAACATGATTTTCTTTAAGATAAACTTTGTAGATAACCTAGACAAAGAATAAGGGCATTTGACAAATTGTTTTTATGAGTGAAAGCAGATGTGTATACTATCTTCCCCATTTAACATGCTACTTTAATCAAAAGTACAGATACAGTCTTATATGGGTGTTTACTGAGAAAAAAATTCCCAGTTAGCTCATTAGGGTTTATTCCTCAGTTAATGTTTCAAAACTCCAGTTTTACTCTGAAGTCTGAACAAATCTTGCCATGAAAACCCCATGCTAGGGTTGCCTTCAGGTCGCCATGAGTCAAAAATGACTTGAAGCCACATGACAACAACCTACATATTTCAATGGATTACACCTTATCTAAGCACTGCATATGCACTGGTTGTACAGTCTCAGTTCTGCATTAAGGCCATATATGAAGTCTGAACAATGAATGTTTCTTGAATATTTATGCATACAGTTTTTGAAAGGTCAGAATATGTAGAACTTCTCAATCACTACTTTCAAATTTCTCATAAAACTTCTTAAATACTGTCTAGTATTTTCAGTGCATATTTTTACTGTTGAAGCCTGAAAATAGTAATGTAATTTACAGCAAATACATCTTAGGAACAACTAGTGCCCATTTCTCAGGCATAAATGTCACTTGGTTCAATGAAGCTTATTCCTAAACAGGCACAGAACTGTGGCCTAAATAAGCAATTCACTAACTTCTCCTATCAACCTAATTTATTATGAAAGGGAATAATTAAGAAATACATTGTTGAAGCAATTTTAAAAAGTCATTGTGCAACTAATTTGGGAACATAACATGGAAGCTAAGCACTAACAGAAAGTACAGACTAAAACATAAGTGTACCGACAACATTAGACTTTCGTACCACATGTCTAAATAATCTATGATACCAGCATTCATGTCTCAGTCAGCCTGTAATTGCAGAAAACATCCAGCCCCAAAGGTTTCTTTAATGAGAATCCTAAGAATTCCCAGTTTTGTCTAACAGCCAGTGTGAACTGTACTCAGAAAGAAGTTCCACGCCAGTGAAAGTCAATCTCAAGTGTGTAGGGCTAGAGCCTAAAGTAATTTTCTGGGTACAGCAGCTGGGGAAGTGTTAGAAATGTGCAGTTCTGCAAACAAATGCAAAATATAAAAACAAACATTATGTGTAACTTTTCAAACATTTGTATTTTATAACTATAATGAGTTAACATATATGTATCAGTGCTTACAGTAGTATTTTGAAAGCTCTTTATTAGTATCTGCCTGAACACTGTTCATGAAAGGTGTGCTGTAGATCTCCATGAAACTTCTTTTCTTTTAAGTCTTTATGGGCCTTTGCAGACTGCCAGAAATAGTGCAAATTGAGTCCACTTTAAGGGTTAGGGTTAGTGCTAGGGAATCATGGGAATTGTTTTTGTTCTGAGACATTGAGCCTTCTCTGTCAGAGAGCTCTGGTGCCACAATAAAATACAGTCCCCATGATTCTCTAGCACTGAGTCAGGGCAGTTAAAGTGGCCTCATTTTGCACTATTTCTAGCAGTCTGCAAAGGCCCTAAGTCAATTAAGGTACCACCTAAGTCAATGATTCTCAAACAGTGGAATAGGGTCCACAGGGGAATACGAGGCTTGCTTAAAGGGGGCTTGAGACTTGGAGGCTCTGATCCCTCCTCTTCCTCCTCCCAAACTTTTTTGTGTAAAATTTACACATGCATTGAGTTAAATACTGAATTTACTTAAACAAAACTGTTCTAATTTAAATGAAGTTTTTTCTTATAAAATGTTAAAATAGGACTATATATGAATGTGCAAATGAAAATATGCACAACAAACAAACACTACAAACATACAATAGCTAATGGAGTGCACCAGAGAATTCTAAAGAAAATTAGCATGTGCTTTATAGACTATAGCAAAGCCTTTGATGGCATAGATCATGAAAGGCTATGGGACGCCCTTAAAGAGATGATAGTCCTAATGAGGAATCTGTACTCAGGACAAGAGCCTACTGTGAGAAAAGAACATGGAGAAACAGAATGGTTCCTAATTGGCAAAGGGGTCAGGCAAGCCTGTATCTTTTCACCCTACCTGTTCAACTTATATACAGAACATAAAGGAGCCCTGGTGGTGCGGCGGTTAAACACCTGTCCTGCAGCCATTCACAGCCACAAGGTTGTGAGTTTGATCCCAGGGCTCCAAGGCTCCAAGGTTGCATCCTTCCATAGGTCACTAAAATGAGTAACCTGCTTGTTGGGGGCAATTAGCTTACAAATGTAAACTGCTTAGGGAGTGCTTAAGTGCACTGATAAGCGGTATAGAAATGTACTTTCTATTGTAAGAAAAGCAGGATTGGTTACAGTGGGAGGAGGAGTGAATATATGAGGAAGGAATAACAACAATCTGAAATAAGCAGATGACACTATAATACTAGCAGAAAATCTCAAAGACCCGGAACAACTACTAAGAAAGATCAAGGAAGAAAGTGCTAAGGCAGGCTTATGGCTGAACATAAAGAAAACAAAAATAATGACTTCGGAAAATCTACACAAATTCAACCTAGACAATGAGGAAATAGGAGCAGTAAAAGAGTTCTCATACCTTGGATCAAAAATTGATAGAAACCCAGACTGTAGCCAGGAAATCAAAAGAAGATTAAGAATGGGGAGGGTGGCTATGACAGAACTAGAAAAGATCCTAAAATGCAAAGATATACAACTAAGCACAAGAGATAAAATCATACAAGCCATTGTATTCCCTATTACCATTTTTGGATGTGAGAGCTGGACAGTTAAGAAAGAAGATAGGAAGAAAATCAATGGATTTGAGATGTGGTGCTGGAGAAGAGTGGTGAGGATCCCGTGGACAGCCAAAATGACAAACAAATGGATCCTAGAGCAGATCAACCTGAAAATCTCTCTGGAAGCCAAGATGACCAAACTGAGGCTGTCATACTTTGGACACATCATGAGAAAAGAGGACTTTTTGGAAAAGACAATAATGCTGGGGAAGGTGGAGGGAAGTAGGAAGAGAGGAAGGCCACATGCTAGATGGATGGACTCTATTAAGGGTATGAATTTACAGGACCTAAGCAGAGAAGTGGAGGACAGGGAGTCTTGGAGATGTGTCATCCACAGGGTCGCCATAGACTGAGATCGACTCGAGGGCATTTAACAACAACAAATAAACAAAATATTTTTATTCATATACTACATGGGGGGGCAATGTCTGCATATAGATGTAAAGAGGGTCCTAAGGGTAAAAAGTCTGAGTGCCACTGACTTAAGTCGGACTTCTGAGCAGTAAATGGAAAAGCAATGATCTCTCAATTAACTGAATATTATGCTTAGAACATGTCAGGAGTTGCTCTCATTTTTAATATAAAACTGCATAAAATTGCATTCTTAATCACATTTCTCTTGTTTTAATGACAAACATGCTATACAAAAGTAAATTCAAAGACCCAGGACTCTCATGATTCTGACACATTAGAAAAAATATAGGGTTTTTTTTTTCCTGATGCATTGGTTCTGGAGGTGACATTATTCTTAATGCCCATACACATCAGAAGGAATCAGCTTCTGAGCAGATGAGTGTAACTTCAGCATGGTATTATCATACAGATTCTAGCACAGAAGTGAATCTCACTGAACACTAATTTAGTGCTAAACAACATGTATTCGCTCTCCTGGATACTGAGCTATTCAGCATTTTTTCAAACCAGGCCACTGTTGAACAAATAAATGAGAATTAGACTGCTTGCCATTTTTAATTTAATTAAATTTTAATTTGAGGTGTGATGTGTTTTATATATGAATCACTGTCCTGGTTCTTATGAGAGTATAGCATAGAATGAAATGGAGGAAGGGAGAAGGAGGGGGAAAAGACTAACTTAAAAGACTTTAAGACTAACTTGTTCTTATTTTAGCATGAGCTTCCATGGATATAAATCTGCTTCTTTAGATGCAATACATTGATATTGAAGCCTTAAGTTATACACCATATTTATACAGCTGTGGAAGTGGAACGGAATGTAATAGGATCCAAAAAAAAGGCAAATCATATCCCTTTCCCTAACTTTTCCAAGGATTGGGTAAGGCATTACAGGTCTTTCGGATCTTTACAGTAGTCAGTTAGTGTTCATGTGTCGAAGCATTAAAAGAGAAACTATAGAAAGTGGTATGACTTAAGCTAGCTCTGATCTCAATGGATCACTTCCTACCACCAACAGAAACAAACCAAATTGTTCAAATGAACATCAAACTCCACATATCACAGAGCAATCTGCCTTACAAAACCAGAATACAACTATATGGCTGCTTTTATGTACTTTATGTTACTTCAGCTCTGAGCCAGCATGGTCTAGTGGTTTGAGTGTTGGACTACAACTCTGGAGACCAGGGTTTGAATCCTGGTTCAGCCATGCAAACCCACAAGAGAGCCTGGTTCAGCCTAAGAGGGAAGCAATAGCAAGAAACTTGCCAAGAAGAAAAGCTCACTATAGGTTTGGCTTAGGGTCACCATAAGTCAGAAATGACTTGAAGGCACACAACAACAACAACAACAACAACAATAACAACATTGTCAGGTCAACAGATTGCAGTTTAAGTCTTAAAACTGTTTATGAAAGCAGGGACCACAGTCTCTTAGGGCCTTTGCAGACTGCCAGAAATAGTGCACATTAAATTGAGGCACTGCCCTGGCTCAGTGCTAGGGAATCATGGGAATTGTATTTTTTTCTGAGACATTGAGCCTTCTCTGTCACAGAGCTCTGGTGCCACAATAAAGTACAGTTCCCATGATTCCCTAGCACTGAGCCAGGGCAGTGCCTCAATTTAATGTGCGCTATTTCTGGCAGTCTGCAAAGGCCTTTAGTCTTCTGTGAAGGCTAAATTGCCAGGATGCATAGAAGTGTCCACTTTGTGTCAATGATTTAGTTCTATCACTTTAAATTATTGCAAGCTGCCTTGAAACTCATTTTGAGAGAAAGGCAGGAAATAAATCCCTTAAATAAAAATAAATAAACAAATAAATTTGCTAAAAGGTTACTTTTTTTGGTCCAAATGGGTCACTCCTTTACAAGGAGGTTCTGGTTTTTAACCAAACCATGTCCTGGGAGAAATTGTTGTTGTTACTGTTATATTTATTTGTATCCCACTTCCCCACCCCCACCCCAAAACTGGGACTCAGAGTGGCTTACAATTTAGAAGAATAGTACAATTAAAAAATTTAAAACACATAAAATAACAGGATATAGAAAAGCAGGATATAAGCCACTCAGGCTGCATCTGCACTGCAGAAATAATCCACTAATTAGCATGGCTTAACACTACGAACTTCTGGAAATTGTAGTTTTGTGAGGAGTTTAGCCTTCTCTGTCAGAGAGCTCTGGTGCCACAACAAACGACAATTCCCAGGATTCCATAGCACTGAACTATGGCAGTTGAAAGTAGTGTCAAACTGGATGATTTCTGCAGTGTGGATGCAACCACAGAATATTTATATTATTCCTATTATCATTCTACAAAGTCAATTAAGGCTGAGTCAGCACTGCATAAATAATCCAGTTTGGGCCTTTGCAGACTGCTAGAAATAGTGCAAATTAGGGGGGTTGCAGACT